GTCATGAAAATAATTTGTGGCAGTGATTCTAATGTATTAAAACGTTTCGTGTTACTTTCTAACTGGATTACACCCTGGATTGAAAAGTCTTCCTCGTGGTAGTTATATGTAGTTTCAAACATGAATAAACTTTTTGCTTTCATGATCAAATGTTGATGTAATTTCTTCCTGCTCAGTTTTAGTCAGCTCTCAAAGATAAAGTAAGCTACGAGATGTATGGAGGAGTTGTCATAAAGCAGGAGTTAAGCAGTTCTTTAAATACAAATAGCGAGCTGTGCACTCTTGCCTGAAGGATATTGGAAATTGTAGGTAAAGTAGGCCCTGGTAGATGTCCACTGCTTTGTACTCAAAAAAGACTTCAAAGCCATAGATGTATCAGTTCATCTGTGGTCTTTCTTCCTACGCGGCTCTGCTCAAGAGCAAGGCGCTCAAGTGGAGGATTAGGAAAGGGTCAATCTTTTAGTCTAAATTAAAAAAAAATCAACATCTTATTCACTCTTAATGATCATCCTTATTTAACATTAAATTTTAAAATATAACCCCTGCTAACAACTGAAACTTGATTATAAAAATGATATTTCTTGATTAACAAAACTTTTTGGAAGGACATATCTATAAACTGCTAATTCTAAATCTTTTTAATAAAGTAAAGGTCAATAACAGGTAATAGCCTATTTACCATATCTCAAGGAAATTGACTCACAGGAAATCAAATTAACGTTAATCACTGGCAGCCAACGGTCTTTGATAAATACAACTATTTTACTACTCCAGTTAGTGTATCTAGGCAAAAGAAGGCATAACTATCACGACCCGTCGCCCAAATTTGTTGCAGTGCCAAGGCAAGCTCTAGAAAATAGACGACTTGGCTGTTTACTTGTTAGCCAGCTGCTTAAGCCCGTAGGCGTAGATTTGGGAGCTAAATGATTATTTGCATGATTCAATTAGCTTGTGGGTCAGCTTTTCTTACCAACCAATTCCTGTACTAAGTTGTTTTGCAAAGTATCTTTGTTTTTCCCCCCAAAATACAGCCAACGGATTTCATCTTCCCCCATGTCCCTCAGACGCGTGTCTCAGCCGATACACCCCTGCTTCTCCTTCTCTCACGCACACAGACACACACCCACAGTTACTTTGGATCACTTTTAGAAATACACAGTGCTCCTTTTGCTACAGATGGTGTGTTTAACAAGCAAGGCAAGGCTGTCCTCTGCCAAGCGCTCGTCAAGCTGTAAGATCGGTGGCATGGGGCACCGCGGGCCTGGGAAGACTTGCTACGTGTGGAGGGAACGCGACAAAACAATATCCGTTTGCTAATGAAGCTCTCAAACTCCACACTCGGTGTTTACGCCATAACTCAATGGAAACAGTATTTTAAATGTAACACGTGTCAGTGGAGGCCTAGGCAGCATAATGAACATGCAGACCTCCCTCATCTTGATCACATCTCTGCTGGCCACAGGCAAAAACCTGTCATATACTGATGAGGTTCATAGGAAGGCCATCAACAACCTTTGGGCGCACTTGCGTGCCCTGTGCCCATTGGGCATCATTAGCGTGCTTCTTTACAACATTAAGGATGCAGGTCCTTTTGAATTACAAGTGCAATTTGGCCTTTCCCTATATTGGAGAACCATCACGTGGCTGCACGGCAAATAATAAAAATTTTATCCTGGAGGCCTGATCACACATCAGCAAGGTTGACTACGAGCACCAGCGTTGAAATGAGTCCTTTGGATGGGCCTGCGCTTTACCTGGCAGCGACATGCTGAAGAGGCCGGGCACGGCTTAATTGAGTACTAACGACATGTGTAAGAATTCATCACGGGCTCGTTTGCCCTGTGAACGGAGCTGAGCGCTCCCAATCGCCAGCGAGGGAGCTCTGCAGTGCTGTTGGGTGGGCGGGTGTCCTTCTCTCTGGAGGGGTGCTGGCTCATAGCTAATCCTGCGTGTCCAGGTTGGAGCTGTCGGTGCTAACGAGCATGCCTGCAAGCGGGGCTGGCTGATGCCCTGGAGCCATCGGGCCCTGGGGACAGCCGTGCACTGGGACGCTGGAGCGGCAGGAATCTGCCTGGGGGTCGCTGAGGTGGAGCCTGGCTGCACAAGGCACCGGAGGGGAGCAGAGGCACCCACCTGGGACATGAGCACAAAGCAGAGGGGGAAGGCCCAGCCCCCTGGGCAGGCTTGCAAGGGGCTTGTGCGGCCGAGAGTTTCCTCCCATGCATGCAGTGCTTTGCAGCAGATCTCCACGTGCTACCAAGAAACACAGCGACACTCTCCTCACACTGCAGATGGGGAAACTGAGGCAGAGAGAGAGAGCCAGTGAGTTGCCCAAGGTCCCCTGGAAGAACAGTGGCAGAGCAGACCCCAGGTCTCCCCAGCTCCAGCTCAGGGCACAAGCTGCTGAATGAGATGGGTGCCTTTTGGAGAGCCCAGCCCTGCACGAGCCCAATGAAGAGTCTGTGCCCCTGCGGAGGCTGATGGCTGCTCTGGTCGTGGTGGGGAGCGGCAGAGAGCCCTGCCTCGAGAGCAGCAGAAACACTAAGATGCCCTGAGCGCCTGGTGAGAGGATTTGCGAAGAGGCCGCAGCTGCCAGTGAAAAGCTCTGCAGAAAGTTTGCAGGGGGCTCATAGATGCTGCTGAGCACTGGTGAGAGAGTTCAAGTGCTTCCCGCAGTGTGCACAGCGTGCAGAGTGGCTCGAGGAGCAGTTGCAGACCTTCCACACGCAGCATGAAGGAAATCTCAGCTCACCGCTCGAGGGTTGGGTTGCGGATACGACGAGGGATGCTCCAGCCTGGAATGAGTAGGCAGGGCAACCAAAGGCTTCCAGCAAGGGGGAGCCCGGGCTGCCTGGCACTGGCGTGGCTGGAGGTGCTGTGCATGTAGCGTGGACGTGGCATGTGCATGCCAGGCCTGAGCTGTGCGGTAGCACCCTGCTTGTCAGCTGCAAGAGGCCGATGCCGGGGCCTGTGCCATGTGTTCCCAATGGGAGGAAAATAACCTCACATAGTCGAGGATGTTTCCAGCTTGTGTGAATAAAAAGTACATCTTTTAAGAGAGGAGAAGTCCTCCAAGATTGGCAAATTTTATTTTATTTCATTAGTTTTAATGTTGCTGCCATATGGACTGTGAAGAAAAGGGAAGCATTAGCCGAGGAGGACGGAGTTATCCGCCTGACACAGAACGCAGATACAATGGCGAAGGAGAAGCCCCGGGAGTGATTTATTGCACGCGGTGTATTAGCCACAGAGGAGTTATGATATGCTCCCCATTCCTGGATCATATTAGGATTTTATTAGTCTAATATGACACGGTAATATACTATATTATTGGAATTCCCAGCCTGCTCGCCTCCCCAGGAAGCTGCTGTGCGCTGTGGCGCTCTAAGCCTCGGCCCTGTCAGGAGGGAGGCTGGGGGGACTGCAGTGTGCCGAGCCGGGCTCTCGTGGGCTCATGGGCACTGCCCACCCTGGGCTCGTGTGGTGAGGGCTACCCAGCTTATTTGAGAGCCACTTTCCCCTGCTGAGCTGCGTGCTGTGCAGTGACTCTGCCTGCGCCTGCAGCTTGCAGCAAGGGTGACACAAAGGCCCCATACAGGGCAGAGCAACCGAAGTGGTGCCCAGGACACAGCTGGGCTGGTTACACGTGTGGGCTACAGCCACGCAGCTGTTGCATGAGGACCTGGCCTCCTCCAGGAGGGTTTCATGCCAGGCTCTCGACTGCTATCGCAGGAAGGGGAAGAAGGGTTTCCCCATGCTCCGCAGTGGCTGCTGTGTTGGCAAGAGGAGAGGCATGCCTCATCAACTCGCACAGCAGTGGACTGCCTTAAAAGCAAAGGAAGGCTAGGCTGGATATGGGCAAAGGTGGTCGGGCCGTGAGGATGGGTTGGCACTGGAACAAGTGTCCGACGGAGGTCACCAGAGATTTGAAAGACAGGCTGTTGGACAGACTTCTGCCAGGGGTGGTCCTGGCACATGTGACCCCACTGTGGAGCCAGGGGTGGCTAGCTGGACCATCGACCCCAGCAACGCTATTCACTGGTCCCCGATACCTCCGCCTACCCAGCAGAGCTGTGCCAGACCCTCATGGTCCCCTACGACAGTCTCCACACCCCGTGTTTAGCTCAGAGCCCTCCTGGCTGCGAAGCGGAGCGCCGACCCACCGCAGCGTCTCGCAGCCGAGCTTGGCTGGCCCCGCGGCCTCCCTGCCTGGCCAACCTTCTCCTTTGGCAACAAATGCCATAGAGAAACTTTTCTTCAAAGTTCCCCTCACGTCCTTGCTCCGTGCGCTGCCAAATCCCCAGCTCCGCTTGCTTGCGGGTTCTGAAGCAAATGCCAGTTGCAGCCTGGCTCTTGCCTCCAGCAGCAGCAGCAGGGAAAAAAAACAAGTTCAAGCATATCAGAGGGCTGCGAGGTGATAAATCCCAAATTCTGTATCAAAGCCTATTTGATCATCTCCCTGTCACCAATAGAATAAAAAGGATTAATTTATTGGAGACTGCCGGAACCCTCCCGTGGCACCGGATTCAAGAGTTCTGTTTACATGGGCTAATTAAAACCAATTAATTTCAGTCAAATTGGTGGCGACCAAACTGTACAGAGAGAGGTTTGTACCTACACATCTCTGCAGTTATGTTGTGCGTGCGCAAGCGGACCGTGGAGTCACCTCCTGCCACCGTGAACGCAGGGCGAAGCAAGCCACGTGCATTAGTGCCGAAGACGGTCACGAGGTGAGCTGCCACGGAGAGTGTTGCCCGGTCCCAGCGGGATGAGCTGCCATGGGGAGGGCTGGAAGCTGGGACCAGGCAGCGCTCTCCAAGTTGCGCTCTCCCACACACCTGGTCATCAGTAGAGCCGTGGGCTGTGCTTGGACCCC